TCTTTTTCTCTCCCATTACAACGCAACGCAAAACGCTACCATGGGATTCCAGCCTTAAGCTGTATCTACAATTAGAAAGTAAGACGCGAAACGCGAGAAATTGCCATGTATTTTTCTCGCGTTTCGCGTTTGCGTCGCGCGTTTCTCACTTTTTTTTCGTATTGTAGAGGCAGGTTTAGGGTGGAGTCCCATGACAGCGTTTTGCGTTGCGTTTTGTAACTACACTGTAAAAAAATCTGGTGTAAAATAACACGAAACTTGTAATTTCACACATCAAAATTATAGGTTGTACGTAGTAAATTTATTTCGTTCCAAAAGTAGTTTTACTATTTTTAATAATTTTACATTATACGACTATGTAATTTAATAGTTTTGTGTAAATTTACTACGTCCGAAGTAGGAAAATTTGATCACTATGTCCGACGTGGTATTTTTACATTGCGTGTATTTCTACACTTTGACGTAATATTACGTCGCACGATCTGTACAATTACATGGCGAATGTAATTTTCTTATTCCTTTAAGATTTTCAAAAAATTTTCAAGTTTTTATAAATAACTCTAAAAAAAGTGTATATAATGTACATTTATAGAAAGTATATGCTAATTTATAAGTAAATAATAATATAACAAACAAAATATTTCATAAATACAAAAAGTTACGACTGAAAATATTATTTCAAAAAATATTTGCAGGTTATGTAGATTACAGTCGGCGTGTAAAAATACCACGTCGGACATAGTGACCAAACTTTCCAACGTCGGACATAGTAAATTTACAGCAGATTTTTTTACAGTGTAGGCTATGAGTGCAAACATAGCCAACATATATCTGTATCTCTTTCACACTCATAGCCTAGTTACAAAACGCAACGCAAAACGCTGCCATGGGACTCCAGCCTTAGGGTACAGTCACACGATCAATGCATCTGCATGATGCATGCATGCACAAACATTTGACTGATCACACCTCAATTTTTCGCTCTCGAAAAATCATTTTTCTGGCGGGATATTTAAAATTGATTAAAATTTAAAAATAACGTATTACTAATTATTACAATAAAAAATAAAAAAAATTGAACGTTTATTATAAGGAATTAATTGTAAATAAATTTCTCTTAATTTGTGGCATATTTTAATATTGTGAATTTTTATAATTTAAAATATGCCACAAATTAAGAGAAATTTATTTACAATTGATTCCTTATAATAAACGTTCAATTTTTTTTATTTTTTATTGTAATAATACGTTATTTTTAAATTTTAATCAATTTTAAATATCCCGCCAGAAAAATGATTTTTCGAGAGCGAAAAATTGAGGTGTGAACAGTCAAATGTTTGTGCATGCATGCATCATGCAGATGCATTGATCGTGTGACTGTACCCTTAGGCTGGAGTCCTATGGTAGTGTTTTGCGTTGCGTTTTGTAACTAGGCCATGAGTGCAAATATAGCAAACATATATCTCCATCTCTCTCACACTCATGGCCTAGTTACAAAACGCAACGAAAAACGTGGTCATGGGACTCCAGCCTTAGGGTGAAGTCCCATGGCACCATGGCCTTACTAACCTAGGGTTTTAGGAAACTATTGGAGAAAGGCCTTTACAAACTACGTCACACTCCTAGGGGTGTGGGGTGTCGAGCTGTGCGTGACATAGTGTGAACATTTTTTTTTGTATACTCAAATGCTTTAATGCTGTCCTTCCGGTTTGATGGAATTTTGAAAAGTCGTGTCACTTCTATCAAATATTCTTAGTTCGTGACATACGAATGTTCATTTATGTCATGAACTGAAAACATTTTGACAGAAATCATACGACCTTAAGGTTGGTTCCAGAATGGACTTGACGCAAACGAAGACGCGACGCGTCCCAATGCTAATCAAAAGCTGTATCTACATAAAGCTGCCTCTACAATTAGAAAGTAAGACGCGAAACGCGAGAAATTGCCATGTATTTTTCTCGCGTTTCGCGTTTGCGTCGCGCGTTTCTCAACTTTTTTCCGTATTGTAGAGGCAGCATAACCTGCCTCTACAATACGAAAAAAAGTGAGAAACGCGCGACGCAAACGCGAAACGCGAGAAAAATACATGTCAATTTCTCGCGTTTCGCGTCTTACTTTCTAATTGTAGATACAGCTTTAAGGAAAAAAAATGAGAAACGCGCGACGCAAACGCGAAACGCGAGAAAAATACATGGCAATTTTTTGCGTTTCGCGTCTGCGTCACGCGTTTCTCATATTTTTTTCGTATTGTAGAGGCAGCAAAATGGGGACGCGTCGCATCTGCGTTTGCGTCGAGTCAATTTGAGTCCATTCTGGAACCAACCCTGGTTTGAAATTACGTAAAATTGGTTAACAATCATTTTCGAATGAGTTTTTTCTTTGCAAAGAGACACTTTTTACAAAATCTGCCCACAACCCAACAACATAAATCTTCTTAATTACCTAAATTCAAAATATTTTCTTAATCCGTGTAGAAACGCACTTACAAAATGAAAAAACGAAAGTAATGTAATAAGGCTGTTTCCAGAATAGATAGACGCAAAGCTGACGCAAACGCAGACGCGATGCTTCTCAGGGAGCATTTACACCTTCGGTAAAAATTTCCCGAACGGAAAATTTTTTATTGGAGTAAGAGAGACAGACTGTGTATCTGACTCTCTTACTCCAATGCAAATTTTCCTTTCTGGACAATTTTTACAGAAGGTGTAAACGCTCCATCAATGCTAATCATGTTGTATCTACATGGTAAAGATAACGCGAGACGCAACGCAAAACGCGCTAGAAATGCATGGTATTTTTGTGCGTTTCGCGTTGCGTCTTACGTTTGCGCCAGCTTTGCGTCTATCTATTCTGGAAACAGCCTAAAGCTGTATCTACAATTAGAAAGTAAGACGCGAAACGCGAGAAATTGCCATGTATTTTTCTCGCGTTTTGCGTTTGCGTCGCGCGTTTCTCAACTTTTTTCCGTATTGTAGAGGCAGCATTAGGGTCGTTCCAGAATGAGCCAAAACGCAACGAAGACGCGACGCGTCCCAATGCTAATCAAATGGGAACGCGTCGCGTCTGCGTTTGCGTCGAGTCCATTCTGGAACCAACCTTAAGCTGTATCTACAATTAGAAAGTTAGACGCGAAACGCGAGAAATTGACATGTATTTTTCTCGCGTTTCGCGTTTGCGTCGCGCGTTTCTCAACTTTTTTCCGTATTGTAGAGGCAGCATTAGGCTGGAGTCCCATGGCAGCGTTTTGCGTTGCGTTTTGTAACTAGGCCATGAGTGTGAGAGAGATCGAGATATATGTTTGCTGTATTTGCACTCATGGCCCAGTTACAAAACGCAACGCAAAACGGTACCATATGGGACTCCAGCCTTAGGCCGCAGTCCCATGGCAGCGTTTTGCGTTGCGTTGTAATAAGAGAGAATTTTTTTTTTTCAAATTTCAGAGAATGCACCCTTAAGGTGGAGTCCCATGACATCGCCTTTTAGAGTTTAACGTGCAGGACCTCCCGATACCGGTATACCCACACGGTCCCCCATGGGACACGGGGCCGAGATACGCTCGGCCAACGTCGATGACCAAGATGTTCTGGTCATCTACCGATTCCCGCAAGGTCAGTGAGGACCATTGCGGACCCTCGGTGGGGGCCGGGACCTTTCCAATCCCTAACGGCTATGCAGGCCGCTACCCGAGTTGAGACCGCAACTCACACGTCGTGACAGCGTTTTCGTTGCGTCGTAATGGGAGAGAAAAAGACGCAAATATACGTTTGCTGCATTCTCTCTCATTGCAACGCAACGCAAAACGCTGCCATGGGACGGTCGGTAGAAAAAAAATTTACCGAAAAAGTCAAAATCGCGTTCACACTTCGCTTTTCCGATATAATGGAAAAACTGTTTCTAGCGGAAATTTAAAAATTTATATTTTATTAAAATGAATTAACACTGTTTTAAGTAAGAAAAATCAAGTTTTTATTAGATGAATATTGTTTTTTAATGATTTACAATAGGAAGATGAATTTTCTTGATAAATAACCATGTAAATAAGTATTAATTAACTTTTGTTTTGAAAAGTTGTAAGCAACGTCACAGCTGTTGTTGATGCGGAATTTTGTGTGAAATTCTAAATATAATCACAAATTATTAAATAATATTTATATAATTTAAATAAAAATGTTTAATGGGGATATTTAATATGCATTTTATTATTAAGTATAAGTTATTTTTCGAAAAGTAGTAGATGTAATTGTGTACATAACCTATAAATGTATGACAAGCCTTCAACATAAAGCAAGTAAATTTTTTGTAAACAAAATATGCAGTTGTAATTTATTGTTTGATAATTTAAATCCCTAATAAATCTTTATTTAGTTTTGTTTAACTTAGACGAGGAACGTTCATAATGGATTTTTTTTCACATAAAATTCCGCATCAACAACAGCTGTGACGTTGCTTACAACTTTTCAAAACAAAAGTTAATTAATATTTATTTACATGGTTATTTATCAGGAAAATTCATCTTCCTATTGTAAATCATTAAAAAACAATATTCATCTAATAAAAACTTGATTTTTCTTACTTAAAACAGTGTTAATTCATTTTAATAAAATATAAATTTTTAAATTCCCGCTAGAAACAGTTTTTCCATTATATCGGAAAAGCAAAGTGTGAACGCGATTTTGACTTTTTCGGTAAATTTTTTTTTCTACCGACCGTCGTATAAATGTATCTACCTATCTCTTTTGCACTCATGATTTTCTGCTTTCGGTCGACGTATTCCGCTCACATGGGATCGCACCCTTACCCATCCCTTATCCCATGTGAGTAGAATACAGCTGCGGTTACCTCTGCAGGCTGCCTGCCTGCGCAGGCAGAGCAACGAGAGTAAGGGAGAAGTTTGAAGTCACTGACTCTCTTACTCTTGTACGTTACCATGACAACCTGCAGGCAGGCAGGCTGCTTGCAGAGGTGTAACCGCAGCCTACGTCGACAGAATCATGAGTGCGAAAGATGAACGGACCTTGCATTGATTGCTATGGTAACCCGTGCCACGCACACTTTTATTATCCTAAGTATTGGAGATAGCCATAATAAAGTAAAAAGTTTAAAGTGATGCTATAAAAATTGATTTTTCATAATAGTAATATTTAATAAAAAAAGATTCATAAGCAATCCTATTTTCGTACTTTAAGAATTTTGATCTGCAAAAGTGAAAAGTTGAAGATACTGTGTAAAATCACTCAGACTTCTAATTAACCCTGAAAATGATTTATTACTACAGTAAGTTTGAAAATTTTAATAATGAAAGATTTAATTATTATAGATACCTATTTAATATTAAACGTATATTTTTTATTTTCAGGATGGCGCAAAGTTGTTACTTGAACCGATTTACCGTAAATTTACGAATATAATCTTTGTGAATTTTTCATCTGATATGCAATCATAAGTAAGTTTATATGATTTATTTGAATAATAATTTATAAAAATTAAAATATAATGCGTTTTAATTAATCATACTTGTATCATTTAACAATATTTAAAAAAATTATTGAAATTTGACTTTGTTAATTTAATACATTGAAATGAACCAATTTAATTTTATAATTATAATCATAAAACATATTTTTTATTTATTTTTTTATTTTAAAAATGATGTATCGTTGATAGTTTTAAAAATCAGTTTAATTTTCAAAAAGATCTCTTATTGTTAGACTCTCATAGGGATAGCTCTTAACAGTGATTGCCATCATAATATTTATTTTTTAAATATTAAAGATACATCTATCTTTAATTGTCTCATATGCGTATTTTAGTTCTGCTTAAAAGTTTGTTTATTTAAGGTAAAATATTAATTATAACAAAAAAAGTCTTTTTTTTAATATTGTTAATATTTTATGCATTAATATAATTAATTTATTCAGAAATGCTATAATCATTTTAACTTGTTTTTGATCTAAAGTCACATATTCCCTTTCGGTCCCGTTAATATTTTAAACCGTTTTACTATCGGCCCCTCATTTACAATACAAGATCCCTTAAACTGGCAATCACTATACCGTTTACCCTTCCTTTAGTTTAATTAATTAATTAAAATGTTGTGCATGAATATAGCCCAAATATAATTTAATCAAACTGTCATATAAGACTATAATTATTACAATTAATTACTACAATTATTTTTTAATATCGAATAACCACTTAACTTAAATGTTATTCAATATAGAAACCATCAAAATGTATTTGTCATTTGCTTCAACTGTTATTTAACAAAGTTATCAGTTAACCGAATTGTCATGTGATAGAATTGTTATATAACCTGGACATGTGAACTGTTTCCAAAACATAAAACATGGAATAATTAATTCATACTTGAAAATAGGCTAGCAATTATTTATTTGAATTAAATATGTAATTTTTTCAGTGAATAAGCACTATTTCTTATACGTTGCAGAGAAATAAATGGATTTTCTGTTTTCATATGGTAAAATTGTTATTTTTGAGATTTATGCAGTTGGAAGAACCATATTTATTGATACTTATTAAGAATTTATTAATCTAGTTGCAAAAAATGGTTCTTTTCATTACATAATAATAAAATTAATATTAATATGTATAAGAAGTCAATCAATTGGATTGACTTGGAGGATTGATAACTTCTTATACATATTAATATAATTTCACCAAGTGATAAATTCAATAATATTAAATAAAATTAATAATTTTAAGCTGTTGGCCATATTATATGAAATAGTTACTGCAACTTAATGGAGTAATTCATACATGGAGAAAAATATAAAGTAACTTTTACTACTTTTATAGAAAAAAATTTCCGGTAAAGTATTTCTTGTAATTTTTTTTACTACTTTTGGAGTAAATTTTGCTACGTTCGAAGTAAATTTTACTACCCTGGTAAAAATTTCGGACTAATTCCGGATTAAATACGGACAGATTAGTTCGAAATTATAATTAGTTATTATATTATATTATTATATTATATTTTATTATATATTATATTATAATTATAATTAGTTCGAAAATTGTACGAAAAAGGTCCGAAAATGATCCGCGCTAGTCTGATATCAATCCGAACGAAAACCTGAATCCGAAAACACTCCGGAGTAATCCTAAATGTCTACGAATTCAGTCCGTAATTAGTCCGCAACAATCCAAATTTATGACCGGTGAAGAATTCTTCTAAAATAAGTATACAGAATTGTCCGATATCAATATGTAAAGAATACGGAATCAGTCCGCAACAATCCGAGTTTAATCTAGTTAAAAAAACTTAATCCGCAAAATTTCCGGACCAATCCGAACTCTGTAAGCAAGAAATCCGGTATTAGTCCGCAACAATTTGAAATTAAGTGTGGCAAAATCCTATTCCGAAAAAAGTACGAAACAATCCGAAATCTGTATGCTAAGAATCCGAAAATTGTCTGCAACAATCCGGATTTAATCCAACTAAAAGGAATAATCCGAAACAAATACGAAATAATCCGAAATCTGTACACAAAGAATCCGACATTAGTCCGCTTCAATTCGGCATTAGTGTGGTAAAATCATATTCCGAAACAAATACGAAACAATCCGAAATATGTATGCTAAGAATCCGGTAATAGACGGCAACCCGAATCATATTATATCCCTGGTAAAAATTTCAGAGTAATCCGGGTTAATCTAACATCAATCCGAATGAAATTGTGAATCCTAAAAATCAGTCTGGAGTAATCTTAAATGTCTATGAATTAAATCCGTAATTATTACTCAACAATCCGAAATTATATAGTGCTGTTATTTTGTTTGGATTTATAATTTTTAGTGCGATATTATATTGTTTGATAAAATTCCATAATCTTAATAATTTAAAATATTTTATTTGTGAGCTTTTGCCCGTCGACGACAGGCATCCTCAGATATTCAAAACTGAAATACATGTAATTTCTAATTAAAAACTTTATAATCCGAAAATATGTCCGTCAAAAAACTCATCTAAAATAAATACGAAATAATCCGAAATTGTTATGTAAATAATACGAACTCAGTCCGCAATAATCCGAATTTAATCCAGTTAAAAGATTTAATCCAAAACAAGTATAGAACAATCCAAAATCTGTATGCAAAGAATTCGGTAATAGTCAGCGTCAATCCGAATAATTTCTGATCAAAACACCACAGTCCGAAAATAAGTCTTATTGTAAATATATACAATCCACAGACAGTTCAAAACAATCCATATTCAATCCAATTCAAAGACTTAATCAGGAATGATTTTGGTATAATATTGAATTTGTATATTAAAAACAATTTGTATTAAATGCAGATAAATTCAAACTATAATTATAATTTCGTATGACAAAAACCTGACCAAAACCAAATTAATTTCGGATTTAATAATTTCACATTTGCAAGTTGCGTATTATCAGACTAACTTCGGACTAGATCGGACTAATTCTGGATTCACTGGTTATACACAAACCGCATTGAGTTTGAATTTATCCGGACAAATTCCGAGCGACAAAAACCTGTCCATAAGCAGACTGTTTCGGATTAGCTGCGGATTCACTGGTTAAGGGGTTACGTACAGTAGTTTTCAATTATGCCTTTTTAGTTTGAACGTGTCACACTCATATGTTCCCATGAAAACATATGAGTGCAACACGTTCAAACTTGGAAGGCATAATTGAAAACTACTGTACAGTTAGAGCTTCAAAAAAAGCTGTTTTTTAGGAATTTTTTGTGGCAACACATTTAAATAATTAATAACAAATCTTTTTCCACATAAAATATACAGTACCGTCCGAAATTGTCAGTCCACCCATTTTCAAAGGAATGACAAAAATTTTTTAACATAAAATTCATGAAAAGTAAAATTTTTTTTGGTTTATATTTTGAAAGACGATAAAATTTTGAAAAGAATAAGACCTTACAGAACTCATTTGGCCAAAATTTGTAGAAGATATTATTAAAAATCGTCATTTTCAATGTTTTACAAAAATTTGAATAACTTCTTAAATAATGAACGCTTTTTAATAATCTTAGGCTTATTTTAAAGACCATTGTCTACAGAATAAGAATTACTTATAGGCATTAACCTGTAATTTTTAACTTGGAATAAGCATGACGTCAAAGTTGGACAAAAAAATTCAAAAAATTTGAAATAATATTATTAAAAGAAAAATAATTTTTGAAACTCAAACATATATTTTTATTAAATTTTCTTGAAAAATCTACACCATATCATGTTTTATATATATGTTCTAGAATAGTTTTTAGTACAAAAAATTGATTTCAAATTTTTCCAATTTTTTTGTCTAATTTTGACGTCATGCTTATTCCAAGTTAAAAATGACAGGTTAATGCCTATAAGTAATTCTTATTCCGTAGAAAAAGACCTTTAAAATAAGCCTAAGATTATTAAAAAGCGTTCATTATTTTAGAAGTTATTTAAATTTTTGAAAAACATTAATAATGACGATTTTTAGGAATATCTTCTACAAATTTTGGCCAAATGACTTCTGTAAGGTCTTATTCTTTTCAAAATTTTATCGTCTTTCAAAATATAAACTAAAAAAAAATTTAGTTTTCATGAATTTTATATTAAAAAATTTTTGTCATTCCTTTAAAAATGGGTGGACTGACAATTGCGGACGGTACTGTATATATATATTTCAAGAAAATTTTCTGAAATTATAGTCCATAAATATAAAGAAATATGCGAATGATAGAACATTTGCGTGAGCTCCTTAAATAAAAATGGTTTCGCGGTGATCACGCTATCTCTTGACTAGATCATCTAAAATCAAATCGTGAAGAAGAAATCGTTAGGTAATGATATAATGCTGTACTTGAACGAAGGGATTTGAAAAATTTTGATTTTTCGCAAAATGGCAGATGTTGAAAGTCAAAAATTGTTTTTTGACCAAAATTTTACTCATATTTTCGGCTATACCAAAAAAATTTATTGTCAAAAAAAATCCTTCGTTCAAGTACCGGACAATTATATAACAAATAAATGGTAAAAATTTCAAACCGATCGGTAAAGCCGTTCTCAAGTTACATAGTGATCACCGACTCTCAAAACATGGTTTTGAGAAAAACGAGTTCAAAGTTTTGAATACCGCCTCCTGGCCACAGTAACGGCTGAGACGGCTCCATTTAAAATTCTATATCTCCATAAATAATAGTCCTATTTGTCTCAAATTTTCAGAGAATACTTTTGAAATGGTTTACTTTTAGAAAATGCATTTTTAAAAAAATCGATTTTTTGAAAATCCTAATGATAGATCGTCCAACATCCTTCCGGCAGGACGAAAAAGACTCAGGTGAGTCCCTCCGAAATCACTAAAGAAAACTAACATGGATTCAGATAAATAAAAAATGATATATATCATTGGAAAGGTAACGAAACAAGCTTTCAGCGCATATAAATATCGGGCTTGTAAGTTC